AAAACTGCTTTCATGGACACAGATGCATGGTATTTCTCCTGCCAGGTTAAGAACAGGCACTAGAGCCAAAACGAAAAAGTGTGATGTACTACTACAAGTGTCACATCAACCCCCACTGGGCTACGCCCAACTGCCTCCCCGTGCTGCCAGGCTCTGGCTAGTGAGGGTGATGTGGGAGGAAGGGGAGAAGAGCCTCTCCTCTCTTCTCCTTGCCTTTCCTCTCCTCTCCAGCTTCAAAGAAGAGCAGCCGGACGAGCTCCGGGGTGGATCAGCCCCGAATTACATGGCTGTAACGTGGCTGGGGCCCCCGATTTTTCTTGGTCGCATCATGGCTGGGGCTGCCATTTTGAAGGTGGAGCAAAGCCCCCAGGATTCAGCCCACTAGCTGATTTGCACAGGCTTGCACTGGGGCAGCCTGCACTAGTCTCTTGCTGGTGCCTGCTGGGCTGGGCCCCGGCCAGCATGCAGATTCGGCTGGGGCTGTTCCTGGTGCAGCTGCAGTCAGGTGGTGCTCTGTGCCCCCAGCCTCCAGCAACAGTTCTTGCTTGTGATCTTGCCTTTGCTGTGCCTTGCTGCACCACGCTGCGGCATGCTGGGTGAGCAGTTTCAGCCAGGTGGCTCCTACTCCACATGCGAGGCTTTGGTTTCAGCTTCCAGACATCAGATCTGGAGCTGGGGCCCTGGCACTCTTCATGGAGCCGAGGTCTGCTCGCTTGCACCAGGGCAGCTCATGCTACGCTCCTGCTGGTGCCTATACCCTGGCCGGGTGCTGCTCTGTGGCCCCCGCATCCAGTTCCAGGATCTGGAGCCAGACCCCCATGTGCCTGCTGAGAGTGGTGCAGCGTGCAGCAAGAGCAAAAGTAAGAGCAAAAGGAGCCACCCTCTGAGCAGCCTGCTGGAAGTTGCTCCTGCCCCTGCTGCACCATGCCGTGCCATGCCATGCCGTTCTGCGTGGGCGTGCAAGCAGCATCAGCCAGGTGGTGGCTCCTGCCACAGCTCCTGGCTGCTTTCCGGGGAGCTGGAACTGGATCTCCATGTGCTGGGGCAGGAGCAGCTTCCAGCGGGCTGTTCCCTGGGCGGCTGCAGCTATCCGCATGCTGCTCTGTACTCCCTACCTCCAGCAGCAGCTCCTCCTCTTGCTCCTGCTCCACTGTGCTGCACCTCCTTTTGCTTTTGCTGCACCATCCTTCTCCACTCCCAGCAGGCACATGGGGGTCCAGCTCCAGATCCTGGAACTGGAGATGGGTGGGGCATACCCCTGCCCTTCTAGGAGACAACTTTTTGCTGGCTCTTTGCCGGCTTTTTGAAAATAGCTGGTTCTCCATGCTTTTCCATGGGGAACTGGATATTTTACAGGAGACTGTCAGTTTCATAATTTCCTTGAAATTGTGCATTTGGTAGGTCTATAACCCTAGGTGAGTCCTCTAAGGGTGAAAAAAAAAAAAAGCTAAAAGTCCCAGTTTACGTACCTGTGAAGTATGCTAGAGAAAATGTACCATCACTTTTATCTGGGACAATTGTATGTAGTTTCTGGCTTATCTATGTTAATTGTCAGAAGGGCAACATGATTTTGAAGTGCCTCAAATCCAATGTCAGTTCTGAGTTGAAACCTGGGACAAAAGAGAAGCTGCCCCTCCCTTTACACCCAGTTTGTCCCTGGAATGAATGGCTATGAGCCTCCATTGTCATAGATTTCATAGGTTTCATCGACATTAGGGCTGGAAGGGACCTTGGAAGATCATCGAGTCCAGCCCCCTGCCTTAGGGCAGGAAGTCAGCTGGGGTCATAGGAGCCCAGCAAGATAAGCATCCAATTGTCTCTTGAAGGTGTTCAATGTAGGTGCTTGAACCACCTCCGATGGCAAGCTATTCCAGACCTTGGGGGGCTCGGACAGTAAACAGATTCTTTCTTATGTCCAACCTGAAGCGATCTTGCAGTAGTTTATCACTGTTTGACCTTGTCATCCCTTGGGGCGCTCTGGTGAACAAACATTCCCCCAGATACTGGTGGTCACCCCAATAAACTTATAGGTGGCCATCAGATCACCCCTGAGCCTGCGCTTTTCCAGGGTAAAGAGCCCCATAGCACTCAGCCTGTCGTCGTAAGGTCTGTTTTCCTGACCTCTGATCGTGCGCGTGGCTCTTCTCTGGACTCTCTCAAGCTTCTCCACATCCTTTTTGAATTGTCCTTGAAAGATGGTGAGCGCAGTTTTTATCTGGCATACTTCACAGGTTCTTAAAGTAGGACAATGAGCTTTTCTATTCCAGGACAAAAAGCTTTCTTTAGAAAGAAATGTGACATCTGTTATTACCCTGAGAAGTCCAAGATGTCTTTTTCTAGCAGATGGCTTCTCCAAGTGTCTTTTCAGTGCAGCCAGTTTCTTGCTTCCTTAGCCACACCCTCAACCGGAGCTCTGAAAGCACTCCTTCCACCCTTTCTTTTTGCATCTCTGTAAGTCTGTCTTGGCTTTCCCTCCTCAACACCTTGAGTCTATGCCATGGCTGCAGCATGTTCCAGTAAAGATGTTCTGGAGCAGTGCTCTGCCCTGCCCCCTCCTGTTTGCATGCTCCAAACCTGAAAGTACACTGCAAGATAACTCTGAGACCATCCCCAGTGGCCACTCACCAACAGGCTGGGGATTTGAGAACAACTTCAGTGGGGAGTCCCTAGAGCAGCCTCACCACAATAATTCTGGATTTTGGTATGTGTAAATGAGAGGGATGGACTGGACAACCTTCCACTGTGGTGTTAGATTTTCCCTCAGGCTCCGTGCTTTTTAATGCCTGATCTGTTTTATTCCCCTGTTCAGGGATTTTCTACTTTTCCAAAACCTCTTCCTGCAGGCAGATTCGGCTGCACTGGCTTTACTAGGTATCAGCTATCCTATTCTTCTAAACTGCTTCCACTCGAATGGAAGCTATCGAGGTTTTAATGACCCTCCATTGTTCCTGGTCTGGGAGACTTGTGACACATTGCTGGCAGAGTATAGCAGATTCCACATACACTGACACATCCAATGATGCAGCAATTTCTTAACCACTATGAGAATTCATAAATAATGTGAAGATACAGTCCCCAATTTGTTACATATACATACTGTAGCTTTCTACAGATCCTCCAAGGATGATCAGGCCTTTTGTTTTGCACAAGTATAGTTATGAATTTGGCTTGAAACTGGAAAGCAAACAGAAAAATCTTAATGCTATTGAAAAATAAGGATGTCTTTGTACAGTATAATTATATCATAATCATTTGGGGCATTAGATGCTGCTTTTACCAAAGCATGTTTAGGGCTAAGTGCAGACATTTGGGGAGGTTAAATTGGGTTCAGAATGGCTGCCCAATTTAAATTTAGCTTGTCCCAGTGCCAACCTTACTCTTACAGACCTGGTCTTAGTGACCAGCAATCAGTTTAAACTTGTAATTGTAAAGAAGTTTCAGTCATACAGATTGGTCTAAAAAGTGCAGAATTCAGGTTAGGATAAACCTGGCTCTATGTAGTATCAGACTTGCTTGATTTAGGTCAAACTGGTGCATGGAACCTCTGTACGCTTTCCTCTAAGCAGCCGAGGGCTGGGGATATCCAGCCACTGGCCCCAGCCCTAGGGATGCTCTTTTTACCCCCTCCCCCTCACAGGGCTATTTTTTGCGACCCCTTAGCCCCTTGCTCCCTCTGCCCCCTGCCCCATACCAGGTAGCCCTCTCAACCCCCATCCCACAAGATGCTCTGGGTGTAGTCACATTTATGAGCATTCGTCGCTGCCAGAACTGAGCAAATAAATCCTGGTGCAGGGAGGGACGGGAGGGAAGGGGGGGGTGTAGGTTTGCCTGGAGGGGTTGGGGGGCTAAAAGTTACCCCTGATCACCCCCATGGAGCCCATGAACCCCACTGATTCTTCCAATTAATCCCATATTCCAGTAAAACCCTGTGGGTCACACCTGCCCCCCCTTCCGTCTTTAGGTTGCGCTTGCCCTGCAACTCCACCCATGGGTCGTGCCTGCTCCATCTCTCCTCATGGGGTGCACCTGGCTCTGATTCCCGCCAGCCTGCTGGACTCCGAACTCCCCTGTGAGCCCCCCATCCTGGTGTATGTGATGTTGGGCAGCCATTTTGAGAAAAATTAACTTCCCCCTAACATCCCTGAGTCTGTACTGTTACAGGGTCTTGTACTACGTATTAATTTCAAGACTAGGGCATGGTTATTACTTAACCAATAATAAATTTAATAAGCCTTTAGTAGTTACAAGTTTAGTGCTATAGTTAGTCAAAAGCATTACAACAGACTCATTCTACTCAATCACTTACCAGTGACTTTTACCTGGTTGCCTGCATTCTCCACCAATTTGTTATTGGTTAAGGAGTAACTATGTCATAGTCTGGAATTAACACCTGGTACAAGGCCTGAATTGAAGTTACAAGATGTAACAGTACTTAGCCTAGGAGACAGAGAATGTGAATTTGATGTAATATTTATGCAATCAGTATGGCCTGTCCAGTGGCCCCTCAATTTGCACATCAGATTGAGAATATTTTAATGTCTGTCTTAATGATAAATGCATTTTGTGTGCTGTACACTTCACATAATATGTTTTCTGGGGCACTTAAGGGTCTAAAAATATTGTGCTTTCTTTATATTAATTTATAACCATGTGTAATCCTATTTGTATTCATAAACATATTGTAGTTTCAGATATACCATCTGTTGCTGCAAATGTGCTTAAAGTGACTATACATGCTGTTTCTGTAACACCAATATATTTATAATTTTTTCTAAAGGTATCAAAGAAAAACTTAATGCCTACCAGAAGAGTTTAAAAAAATAATTCTTATTATTTTATCATTGTTTAAAGTGCATGTAACCATACCTTAATCTGTTACATATTTTGCTTTTGAATCTGCAGACTTCAAGAGAAGTAAAAATTTCAGGAGCTATTGGGCCCTGTGTTTCCCTCAATTCTAAAGGACCTTGTGTGTCAGAAAATGTAAGTCAACTTTGTTTTAAATTAATATAATTTAGGATAGCAAAATAATTTCTGATTCTAGACAGAAATGTAGAGTTACAGGATTGGGAGGGGGACTCTAGGATTGTGTATTTAAAACCAAACTCTTGCACAAATGTAGGGTGCTGTATTTGTAACCATCCCAGATAGATGCCTGTCTAGGGAAGCACCATGATGGCTCCTTCTGTTGCTTCTTAGGCTGCTGACAGATGTGAACTCTGCTCCATTCCCTCCCAAAAAGCCCCTAACAGCTATGCTTTATTGGAAGAAGCAGTGTGTTAGTTTGTCCTGGCTCTGCAGTATCTGTATAGAGCAGATGCTTCAGTAGGACTTTTTGGTGCTTTTATCTAATACCTGATGCAATCAGCTGTTAGATAAAAGCACCAAAAAAGTCTTGTTGATGTGCCTGATCTATACAGACTTTGGGCGAGCCAGGTGCAACTAATGCAGTGTCTTTTCTGGGCATGCACTGGGCTAGGCACAGGGATGTGCCAAGTTTAAAAGTAAAGCGCTGTTTTTTTTTACATCTGTAAGCAGCCTTTGATAGAAGCTGTGATGAAGAGCCATTACAGAGCAGTGGAAATAATGGCCTGTAGTGGATAGAGGCAAGAAGTGTAGCACTATTAAAATATTTTAGGTATCTTAATCCTACATCTATAGCTTTATTAATGTAGCTTTATTAATGTATAACAAAGAAATACTTATGTTTTTCAAAGCATTATGTACAATCTGTTTACAGGAGATTGGAACTGGGGGTACGTGCCAGTGGAAAATCTGCGGACTTAATCCCACTACAACTCTTGCACTCTACTTTGAGGTAGTCAATCAGGTAAGGAAAGTTTCTCTTTGTAACAAACTCAAATATAGTTTTGTAATTAGCCTTTCAGATTCATTTACTTACAATCAATTGTTTTTATGGTTTCCTTAATGTTTTCCACTTGTATACAAGTCTTTTGCCATTCTCAAATGATAGAGTCTAAATTAGTTGGTGTCTACTCAGTAAGATGAGTTGACTTTCTTTATAAAAAGTGTGCCAGCAGTAATTCATTTTCTCAGTGACAGATATCAAAAGGTGGAGAAACGAATGCAAGTTTGTCAGCTGTGGAATGTTGAGTGTATTGTTCAAGTGTAAAACCATTTTAAAACGATTCTAAAAAATCCTAGAAAACTTTTAACTGCATTGCCACCGAATGCACAGAAAATCTGTTGATGGGAAAGAAATTGGTATGTTGTAGTTGGAAGGAAAGTAAGATAGTTTATATTATCATTGTTAAATAAAAATACATTTTTATGCATTTTTTTCGTATTAGTAAAATAATAATAATTGGTATTTATAAACTTTTTGGCAAGTCTCCATAATATTATGAATTTAAAATGCATTGTTAGATTAAATTCAACAGTTCTAGTTCTGGCCTTCTAGTACCCTGAGTACTAATTTGTTTCTTCATATGCACACAAAAGTCAGTGTGGTACTTGCTGGAATAGAACATTTGCTAGCTAAAGGTGCAGGCAGAAGTGCAGCTCTCAGCTGTAACTCAGAACGATTTTTGCAAAGCATCCTGAGTTACACCATTACCCCAGACCAAACAGATGTTCACTGTTGGTTCCAGCCAGGAGGGGAATCCAGCTGTGGGCTGGGAGCCTGCATCCAGGTTCCCATAGTGAGGGGCAGGCTCTCTGCCAGTGGTCACTGATTTCAGAATGGGAAGGAGAAAGGTTTTTGGGGCTCCCCGGCTGCTGCTGAAGGGTGGGGTGGGTGAATTGGACCCCCCCCACCTCAGGAGGGCTCTGGGGAGGCTGAAAAACCCTCAGACTGAACTTCCTCTGCTGTCTTTCCTCCCTCCCATTCTCAAAACAGCAACAGGCTAGGAGCTTGGAAGACACAAGTTACAAAAGATGCTAAGTTTTGAAACGTCTTTATCTGATACTTCATGCAGTGAGGGGTCAGATTTTCACCTGATCAACCATTTTTTGAAGCTGTGTGCAGCTGTGCACTTGTGTTTGGTCACATTTATAGACTGCTTTGTGTGGCCAGTTCAAGCAAAAATTGTCACTTCGGTCTGTACCCTAAAGTTTCAGTCTTTGTTGTTAGGTCTAGTTCAGGGGTGAGCAATTATTTTGGGTGGAGGCTACTTAATGAGTTTTGGTGAACTGTCAAGGGCTGCCTGAGTAGCCCTGCCCCTTGACAGTTGCCTTGCTACCTTGTTGCCATCTTGTGACCAGAAGTCCCACCCCCTAGCCCATGACCTTTGCCACCAGAAGTTCTTCCCCTTACCCCCCAGAAATACTCCTTTTGGGAGAGGGGATTACCACCTTAGAACCAGAAAAACCTCAAATCATACACTAAAAGTCAAATACCTACCATAACATTTTAATTTTATTACAAAAAATATTTTTATCACAATTTGTGTTTGTGTACTGTATATAGAGGTGATTGCATAATAACTCAAGAATAAATTCTTAGTTTTGTATATTGGGGGCGTATGTATGGTAGGGTGTGGGTGTGTGTGGTGTGTATGTGGTATGTGTGCATGTGTGGGGGGATGTGGGTGTGTGATAGGATGCGGGGTATTTGTGATGGGGTGTGGCTGTGTGAGGGGGCATAGGGTATGTTGGGAGGGTTGTGTATATTTGGGGGGTTGGGGCAGGCTGTGGGTATTTCATAGACATTAGACATTAGGGCTGGAAGGGACCTCAGAAGATCATCGAGTCCAGCCCCCTGCCCAAAGGGCAGGAAGTCAGCTGGGGTCACAGGATCCCAGCAAGATAAGCATCCAGATTGCTCTTGAAGGTGTTCAATGTAGGTGCTTGAACCACCTCCGGTGGCAGGCTGTTCCAGACTTGGGGGCTCGGATAAGAAAGAATTCTTCCTTATGTCCAGCCTGAAACAGTCTTGTAGTAGTTTATGACCGTTCGACCTAGTCGTCGTCCCTTGGGGCACTCTGGTGAACAAACGTTCACAAAAAACATATGAGGGGGGTGAGTGGGTGACCCCTACACTCCTCCATGGTGCAGCAGCAGGCGGGGTGCTCAGGGTGCAGGCTCCTGGCGGGGTGCTGTTCTATCCAGTGCTACACATTGCAGCGAGGGGCGCAGCCTCTATCACTTATGCTCCCCGCCACTCACATGCAGCCCCTGTATTTGCACAGCAGGGCGGGAAGCCCCGCACTCTGTAGCCAGGTGCCTTCCCTGCCAAGGCTGCGTAGCACTGGAGAGAAGCATCAGCCTGGAGCTTATTGCTTTCCCCGCTGTGGCTGCGTTGCAGGGGAGGGAAGCCCCAGGCGCCTTCCTCTGCAGGGTGGAGAAGGTAGCCAGGTCCAGCCTGAGGCTTGGCTTCTCTTCTGTGCTGCGCAGCCCCAGCATGGAAGGCACCTGGCTCCAGCACATAGGGCTTCCCGCACTGTGCCTGATGAGTGTGGGGGCTGCATGTGAGTGGCGGAGAGTGCCAGCAGTACAGATGTCTGGGTGGAGGCTGTGTGCTGCAATGTGCAGTGCTGGCTGGAGCCGTGCCATGCTGAGCGCCCCACTTGCTGCTGCTGCCACCGCCTGCCAGGGCTGTGCGCCATGAGGGAATTGTAGGAAGGATCCCCCCGCCACCCTTCCTCACACCCACACGGTGCCCACCCCAGCTTCACACTGCTGCTGCCCCCTGGGCGCGGGCTTGGCGCTGCCACCAGCCACAACCCCAAGCTCTGTGCTCCCTCCCAGATCCAGCCCTGCCTCCACTGATTCCCTACCCACTGCCTGGAGCAAGCAGGAGACTGGGGAAGCGAAGCAGGTCCCCAGGGGCTGCAGCAGCTTCCTCCCACAAGGATGGGAGCCAGGCAGTAGAGTTCCGTGATACACATGGGTGAGTGTACACATGGGTGTCTTGCTCCCACCTTTGTGGGCAGGGCTGGGTAGAGCAAAATGTGTTTGGGGGCCCCGCAGGTTGGTAAAAGTGCACACCCCATGGGCTTTGTTTTGCCCGCCCCCAGTCTAGGTAAAAAATTCTGTTCCAATGACGTAAGGTTATTTCAATCTGTAAATAAAGTTTTTTGTGCTTTTCAAGTAGGAGAAAATTAATTTCTTATTTCTCTCAGGGAACAAAAAGACTGTCTCCCTGGTGCTGAATGTAGTGCTCACCAGCTTTAGCTGTGTGTAGCATGTGGAGTACAGGGCTGCATCTGGGGCACATGCTACATGTGACACTTGTGTCAGAGTAGCCCTGAGTGCTGGATCTGGCATGGGTAGCCCATCTATGGACCTCATCTGTCCTGTCCCTAGATCCAGTGTGCAGGACTTCTCCAGTGCGGGCACCGCATGCAGCATGTAAACAATATTTGCTTTTATAAAGGAAGTGTATAACAGCACTTATACACTTCCTTTATAAAAGCAAATATTGTTTATTATCTTCATGAAAGACTCTAGCAGTGTTTTGCAGACTACTCTTTACAACAACTAACAGCTGATCTCAGCCAGTTCTCTTAGAGGGACAGTCCCACACAGCATGCCCCAGACCAGCCCCACGCCATTTGCAGCCTGCACCAAGTGGGCTCCATGCATCACATGCAACAAATAGGGCTGGGGCCAGCACATAGTGCATGTAGCAGGCATCATTTTGGGTGACTTGATACAGCCCCACTTGAGACCCCTGTACTATATAAATACCAAAGTAACTGCCACATAAATTCTAGCCCCTTAAATTCTGCCTGTATTTGCAACTGGATTCATTATTCCACACTTCCTGTCCTAAAAAGTTATGTAACAATGTAACTTTAAAATATTGAACAGATTCCTCATTCAACACCATCTGTTGTATTTAAATGGTGGGTGAAGCTATTAATGTATAGTTTAATTGCTGCATAAATATAATGTCACACCTCTCAGATTTCAGTGCTTGTACAGAATCTGCTTTCATTAAATTGCATTGGAACTTGATCTCCACCCTAATTAAATACATGGTGTAATACATTTAGTGCAGGAAGTTGGACAATATGACCCTTCACATGGTTTCCCCTGGGTCAAGGCCGGAATTTGAGCTGGAGCTGCTTCAGCCGCCTGCCTCAGACAGTACTTAAATCCAAGATCCTCCCCATGTTGAATGCGGGGAAAAGCCATGTCTTGGATTCCAGTAAATTCAGCAGTTCAGGGTTCCTTTATTTTCTTTTGGAATCTTAAAAAATAGACCTCCCTCAATTCCTTGGTAGATAAGGATCCCTTTTCATAAAGAATACAATACAGTTAAGAAGTATTTTATCAGACATTGATCACTTTCCTGTTGTGCTTTACATTGACAGTACTTACAAGCAATTCTGTAGATGACTTGTTAATGTTTCTCAGGCATGTCATAACCAGTTTCAGATTAATCTGTTGTTAACAGATTTTACCTGTAAATATAATAGTCCTCTGAGGCAATTGAAGATGTGTCCCAAAATGTAGTCTTTATTATTGCCCCCCTAAAGCATTAAAATATTATGAGTCAGGTACCAAAAAAATCAGAAGCTTGACTGAAAATCATGAATTCAAAAAATAATAATTTAGGTTGTTTTTTTCTTTTTCCCAGCACAATGCTCCGATTCCTCAGGGTGGACGTGGTGCAATCCAATTTGTGACTCAGTATCAGCATTCAAGTGGGCAGAGACGTATCAGAGTGACCACCGTTGCCAGAAAGTAAATTTTATTTATGATTAATGTATTCAGAAAACAATGCAGCACCTGTTTGTATTTCATTTAATAATCTTCAGTTATTTAACCAGCTCAGTGTTTTAGGATGTACAGTGTATGTGGCAAGGAAAGGATGGTCCCTCTGAATCCTGTGTGCGTTTTCTCTCTGGTGTGTTGTGAATTGTTCCGTATCCAAGAAGCTACAGGCTGAAATGCCCCAAAATGACTGAAGTTCTACCTGGAACATGAATTGCTTAGTGAAAGTCTATGGTCTGTGTTGTTCAGGTGGTAAAATAATCCCAAAGGTCCCTTATTTTAGGGGCAAGGATTTTTGTGATATCTCCGTGATTATCTCTTATTGGACCAACTGTATAGTTTGGAGAACTGGTGGGCAAGCTTTCAGGCATCAGGTGCCATTCTTCAGATCTGAGAGAGAAGCAGAAGTAGGCTGAGCTAAATATCAAAGAAAAGACTCTCTGCAAATACAGTCTGCTTGAAGGGATGGAGGAAGGCTATGAATGAGGAGGAAAATCACCTTAAAATCTGGCTCAACTTTGATCTGTGGGGTAGAGTACAACTATTCATCTCCCACCAAAATGTTCACTTGCAACTTCTTACTTTCAACTAGCTTCACCATTACCTTACTTAGAAAGTGGGCACCAAATCTTATAGAGGCAGTTGATTGTGCTGAGGAGTGTTGGTTTTCTTTAGTGTTGTACAGATTAATGAAGTATGGTTAATTTGTAGGAAGATGTCATTTATCAAAGGGGTTGTGGCAGTTATCATTACTATGGGTGTCAGGTTAATTTTCTCTTATTGTGCTATATATTAGTGAAATATTTTTAGTGTTCAATAAACCAATAAACACTGCTAGCATACAGATCTCTTCCCCGCCCCCCCTTACACAGGTCAAATTAAGACTTATAAAGACACAAAGATCCACAAGCAACAGATAATATCACTTGATGGAAACTGTCACACTCTGTAATGTGTTTCATGTTCAAAGGATGAGCTATCCAGTGGGGAAGAAGAATCTGGGAAACTTTCTCTGCCAGCGCTCTCCAGCAAGTGGAGCTGGGGAGCTTCTACCAGGGGCTGTCATCTCTCTCTTCAGCTGTGCTGGGAATGAGTTGTCAGCTGGGCTTCACTTGACTGAAGAAGCTGCAACCCAACCCTTGTGCAGAACTGGGAAGACCTGTGTGAAGGGTCAAGGATGTGGGGATGAAAGGGGCCAAGAACAGCAGGGCTCAAACTCTCCAGGGACCTTGTTAGGTGCTTTTGTATATGTCCTTGTCATGCCCCCAGCTTTCTGAACAAATTCCTCCCCCATCTTTCCCTGTGTCAGACAAGTAAAGTATGTTACTTCAGTGCGTGTTTACACTCTGGCTTTCATGGAGAAGTTCTAATGGCAGTCTTAAAGAAGCAGACAGAAAGCTGGTTGAAGGAAGGGCAGTGAATCTTGACATTTTGCTACTCTGGCCTGGGTCAGCAAGGTTAAGAGTCACAGAGAGTCTCCCCTATCAGGAAGTGGGTGGGGAGAGGGAGACATCTACCCTGGGATGCCTGAGGACCTGGGCAAACACTATCACCTTTTGTGTGACATGATATGTTCAAATGAAAGCTTGATAGAAACCAGGTACAAACTGTTCTATGTTTTTCAAGCAAGGACTTTGCAGCTCATTGGTCATTTTTATGGCTTGTTGGCCATTTTATTGTGCAGTAATTATTTTGTATGTGTAGCATGTCTCAATTTATTGTACAATTAACCAGTTAATTGCACACTAGATGTACCTTGCATCAGGGGCTATACGTGACATACAGTGCTTGCATTTTTATATAATCAATGAAAATTCCTAAGAGGGAAGGTTCAGCAAAGAGCCTCTAAGCTCACCCCAGATGAGGTCTGAAATTCCATGACTTTTCTATGATACTGCTCTCTGTTTCAGTTTCAGTAGAGTCTGCTGAGCTTGGATGACTCTCTATACAACTGCTTTTCTTTTGCAGCTGGGCAGATGCACAGACACAGATCCAAAACATAGCTGCTTCTTTTGACCAAGAGGCAGCTGCTATTCTTATGGCTAGATTGGCAGTTTATAGGGCAGAGACAGAAGAAGGACCTGATGTGCTTAGGTGGCTGGACAGGCAACTCATACGACTGGTAAGAGCTGTGTCCCTATTTATTAAATCAATTGGGTGTCTTCAAGTTTACATTATTAAATGACTTGTATTCAATGGTTATCTTAAACTATTATGTAAAGAGAGACCAAATACTTATCTATGCAGAATGTAGAATTAATCAAGATTTCCAATTTAAATAATTAAAATAAAATTAGCACACAGTCACTACTGTGAGGCTTCCAATTGTTAAGGGGTTAGAATAAGATTAAAGATCTGGTTTAGGTGAAATCGGACCTTAAGTCTTTTCTTCTGCGTGCACTGTGTGTGCAGTTTTAAATATTCATTTCTTAAAAAAATCTTTGACTGTCTTGAATACTTTGAATTTTCCCTTGTTACTTCCTTATAAGATTAATTATCTATTAGTCTCTTCCATAAGTATGGAAGCGACTGTTCTAAGCAACTTTCTTTATCTGAATTGATATTTTTTCAGTAATTGTCTAATTGTGTAACATTTAAAAAAGCACATACTACAGTGTGATATGAAAGGAAATTACTACTTGCCAAAAACATTTTTTTCATGCTTTATTCTAATTTACATTTTTACTGTAAAGGTTCAACACTTCACATTTGATATGTATTAGAAAAATTTGAAAAAATTCTAATGATATAACCAAAGTTGTTGTGTTAACTTATACTTTTATTTTCCTTTTATTTAAGTGTCAGAAATTTGGAGAATACCACAAGGATGATCCAAGTTCCTTTAGGTTTTCAGAAACTTTTTCACTTTATCCACAGGTGAGTAGAAGGAAGGTGTTAGAAGCGGACACCTTCTACATAAGAAAGTAAACAACAAGTGAATGATTATGGATAAAGAATGGATGTAAGAGGCAGTCTGGTATAAGGCAAATAGAGCTTTTGACTGGGAATCAGAGTTGGAAGACCAGGTCTATTTCCAGCTTTTCACAAACTTGCATGTGATTTTGCTCTTTAAGCTTCTTGTCTTGTTTCCTTTTTGGATCTTCTTACCATATATATCTGCAGTGCTTAGCATAATGGAGTCCTAGCATAATAAGGGTCTTTATCTTACTCAAATGTTGAGGTACTCATTATCATTGGCAATCTCTCGTAGTCAAGGATGATTGTCTTCCATGACTGTCTTATCTGTGGATCTGAAGATGGCTGACAAGGTCTATCCAGGATCATAGTTTCATAGTTGGTAGGGTCGGAAGGGATCTGAGCAGATCATCAAGTCCGACCCCCTGCCATGGCAGGAAGGAGCACTGGGGGCCAAAGACC